CCCCATTTTTTAAAACAGATTTCCAATTGAGAATGGGGATGTATCTTTTCTAGAACAAGAAAACCACTGGTTTCTACTTACAAGATGTTCAATAAATATAATTTTATAATGTTATAGGAAGGGAGAAAGCTTTGTAAAGAAAATGGATTTCACTGTGGTTAGCAAAAACAAAACAACTTTTACATTATGGCTCCTGGGGCAGCTTCAACATGCCAGGCACAGGATGTTCATGCTCCTGAAATACAGCCATCATAAAGCTGACACACTCAGTTTAGCAGCTACTTTCAGTCCTTTCTAGAATAAGACAGTCTGTCAGCAAACAGTCAGCCAGTGGCACTTGTATCCCAGCCTCTCGATACTGGCATTTCCCCATGCTGTTACATCTCATGGGCACCCTTTCAGTGCAACAAAAACTGCGTCTCAACTGCATTTCAAATAAGATTATGAAAAAATGTGTGCCTTTATGAAAACAAACAAAAACATCCCAAAACATAACTAGCCATATGCAGGGATAGGCAACAGTGAAATGCATGACTCGCAATGTGAAGGACTCTGTGAGAAGCTGCGAATTCCTTCCTGGACACGGTGTTAGAGGGAACACTGCCGCACATCCAGCCAGCTATGCTTCCAGCAGAATGTCCTGATTCAAATGCTACTTTAACAAGCGAATTCTGGAACCAGTCTTCACTGATGGGTTACAACTAGAGAGGGGGCTGCAGGGGGTCAGATTACCTTTCTCGGCACTGCTCTCCCCAAGGCCACCCCAGGGGTGGAGCAGAAGAGCCCGATGTTCACACCCGGAGTAGCAAATGAGGATTTGTCACTGGCCACGGCAATGTCACAGCTGGCAACCAGCTGACATCCAGCAGCGGTGGCCAAGCCATTCACCATGGCAATCACAGGGACGGGGTGATTCTGGATCAGCATCATGACCTAAGGAGCAAACATACTCAGTTACATTCATCCAAGAGTGAGGTGCAACACTAATGTTTATTTCATATGACTTTACTGCTTTCAGAGCACTTTTCAACTCTATTAGTGTATCAGATTCTATGAAAAAATGTACAAAAGAAGGCACAGAGGGAACCTGCATTGAATACTATGAACCATTGAGCCATTTAATTCCTGAGAAGATCCGGAGGGAAGGACACTATGTTACAGCCCTGACACAGGCTCAGAGGGGAAGGAACTGGACTAAGGCCACAAGATCTGCAAGTGGTGGCTGTGGGGTCCAAACTAATACCTGCCTGACTCCCAGCCCCCGGCCTCTTTGAGGTTACAGTCCCATCCCCTCCAACTACTTCCCCAGCAGCCCCTCAAAAGAACAAGGCTGATTTTCTCTCTGGGCAGCAAATAGTTCTGTCCTCACTGAGCCTGTGGAGCTCTAGTGCTAAAGGTCTGAAACGTATTTGGAACTTTCTTGGAAAATTAAGATGGAAAAGGGACTGGAAGGTAATTTCTCTAGTAATTCTCATATCACAACTATGAATACCCTTTCAATTCTGTTAAAATGATGGGGAACACCCTGCTGTCATCAAAATAAACAAAATTCCTAAACCAGCACCACTGGCACAGAGAAGGCAGCCAAAAACTTGCTCTGGTGATACCCCCAGCCCTTTATAAGTCTCCAGGACTTTAACTTATTTTTGCAGCTTACAAAATAATTTATTTCTCCATTTCTTCATGACGCTCTACACAGATTGTGTTGCTATGGTAACTTCCATTTATAAATGGTTGCTCTTTGAACCCTGGCAGGGAGAGAGGGGAGGCAGAAAGGAGCTTCATCTGGGCTTTTCTCCCATAATGGCAACTCAAAGATAGATGAACTTCATTGATTTTCCCCAACGTACCTTTGTCTTTATAAGCATTGGTATTTGTCAGCTTTATTATAACATAGCCAATTAGATATTTAAGGATATGCTATCATGTTCTATGGTAGAGGCTCTTGACTTTTAGGGGGTTCACCTTTAAGAATCTAAGTGCTAGTGACCCTCTTCGTAGAATGCACTTAGTTGTACCCATCCCCCAAACCACTCATGGATTACAGGGCTCATGTACTCTCAGTGAGAACGGGGATGGTCAGTGACAGCTCATTCGCAGTGAGCTACAGTAATAAGGAGAACACACAAGAACTTTAGAAATCTTGCTGCAAAGAAAGACAAAATTTTGTTTAGCTCTGCCTGTCACCTGTCACCTAATGAACTTCAGTTTGTTATGAAAAGACAACTGACTGTGATTAGAGTTGAATAGTTCGTCTCCTGTCTGCCACCTATGAAAGGCTAGTATTTCATATAGCCTGGTGGGAAAATACTTAGATAATCCAGTATATATCAACAACATTAAAAATATTCATACTTTTGATCTAGGAATTGTACTAACAAACAATCTAAAAGGGTAAAAAGCTGTCTAGATAAAGATGTTCACCAAATAATCACTCTATAATAATAAAACTTATAAATAATAAATATATAAAAATAAGGAAATGGTTATGTTAACTAGACTGTATTCATTTCATGGAATGCTATATTCTCATTAAAGTGAAATCTTCCAAGAGAAACACCAGCACAGTAGTCTGGCCCTGGTGTAGTGGTCTAGAGCCAGCTGCTGGGGTTTGATGTCTATTACTCACTCGCCTCATCCTCAGTTTTCACATCTGTAAAATGGGTATAATAATAATACTAACTTTATAGAACATGAGAATTACATAAGTTAGTATGTCTAAAGTACTCAAAATATTACCTGGAACATAACAAGCATTCAATGTTATATTATATAATTACACAGTATAATCATATCTATGTGAAAAATGATTAAAAATAAATGTAGTGAATATTTTTATTAATCATAGTTCTCTCTGGGTGGCATGATCAGTAATTTTGTTTCTTTTGTTTTTCTAGATTACCAAAATTTTCTGTAATAAGCACTTATTTCTTTTATAATTAGAAAACATTTAAAATAAAGTTAGAGAGCAATTCAGAGAATAAAGCAGCTAGATAATCTATCCCTTAATAATAGTCAAGAATTGATTATTCCTCCTATTTTACCTCCTGAATGAAGTACTTTTGGGGGTCCAGCCTACTCCAAAATGTGATGTAAATTTAACGCTGCCCTAGCCTCAATGAACTCCATTGCTGAGGGTCCACATTATATCCAAAAGCCAGAGGGCCTATCCCATTGTCATTTCTGCATGGGGTGTGAAGAGAAAGAGAAGACTCTCCTCCTGGACTGGGGTTTCCACTATCAAACTTCACAGGATATTAGAGCAGACAGACAAGGACAGGTATCTAGTGAGAGCTGCCGCATCAGCTCACAGAAGTTACTATCACTCTTCAATAACCAAGTACTTCTTCCCATTCTCAATTTGCCCTATTACTGATTTTTTAAATAATTAACTATCATGCCATACTTGTGATCTGTAACAAATCTGTTACAAATTTTAGATGTTAAGCTAATTCAGATATCTCTGTCTTCCCTTCTCAAATCAAATTTCCTCATGCATGAGCCCAACATGAAATACCTAGCTCATTCTGTTCCAACCTGCCTGTTGATTACACTTGGAAACTGAAATCTTGCACAAGTTTATGGCGCTCATATTTATTCAGATTATCTGATTCTCTTAGGAAAAAAATGCTAAAGAAATCAATGCATTTTCACTCTTGTTTGGCTGCATCAGCGCTAGGTCCTGCTTAGGCACTGGGTCTTTTTCAGTGAGCTAGAGGCATCCAGGGTTGGAAGCTTCCATGAAACTGAGTATTTATCCTCTGAAGAAGCCCTGGCTCCCTGTGGCCCTTTGGTAACCCATTTAGATCCTAGTTCATGAAGATCCCCCAGCAAAGTGGTAAAAACAGATCCTTTTGGGAAGATGGAAGGGCTCTATTGATTCTCTTTGATGATTTTCTACTTTGGTCAAACATACTGGGTATTAATAGAAAAATAACTTTTAAAGTAGCAAGCCTTGGGAAACACAGGAGCAGAATATTACATAATCATTAATGTGAAATAAAAGACCTAAGTCCTAGCTCTGGCTTGCTTTCTCCTCTCTATGACGCCTCAACTCCATCACTTTCCCCTTTGTCCCTCCATGAAGCGAGAAAACTATAATCTGATCTCTAGAAGGGTTTCCAGAAAGGCAAGGAAAACAAGTGATGGTAAAGAAGGTATCTTAATCACCTTCCATTTCCAACCCCCATTGCTCACCTCTGTCTTGTCTACATAGTAGGTATTGTTATCTGTTTGTTGAATCACCAATGATCAAATGAATGAATGAATAAGCCTATGAATGGTGAAAAATTAGGCTAAGTTATCTTAGGGTCACGTTATGAACCTGTTTTACATGTCTTGTTTCTCAACTAGATTTCCATTTTTAGTTTGGCAGGAAACTCTTTTTGCCTTCTATTTCCCTCAGTATCTTGCAAGTATCATCCATATAGCAGGTGCTCAATACACAGTACTGAAATGAACAATGTTATGTAAAGTTGGATTCTATATTTAATTTCTGATTACCCTGCGGTTGATCTGATGCATTTATAAATCATCTCTTTTTGTTCTTCCTCTTCTACATCTGCTGGCAATTTCCCTTCTTAATATGGTTAGAGACAGAAGTGAAAATGAAGAGGTTAATTTTCCTACTTGGAGGTGGTGCTTATAAAGGTTAGTTGAAAGAAGGGTTTGAAAATAATTTTTAAAATCTTTACTGTTATTCCATTTATGAATGATCTCTTTCCCATTAATAGAATTGTTTTAGTTAAAAAAATTTTTAAATGATAATCTTAGGTTCTTTCTCTCTAAAGATGTACATTTCTATCCTTTACCTCTTAAGACATGTATAGGAAGACATACCCATGATGCTGGAGATGGCAGCTCTCAATACAGCACATACTTTACTTTCTTTAGCATATCACATATCAACAGCAAACTATGGTCGCTTTTTAAAAGTCTAAACTAAACTGTTGCTTGGATGAAGGAATCACCAATGACCACACAGAAGTTTCAGTAGTTCTGCAGTGGTTAGGCCTCATAGATAAAACCTTACCTGTAAAATAGAAGCCTAATTCAAAATTTAATATGCATAATCATTTTCAGGTTTGCAATGCCAGCAGTCCTCCTGGCTTACCTCAGAACAGGTTTGAAATACTTCAGCGTGATATTCTGGACGTTGCTCATCTGTCAGTTCCTTTAAATCATGCCCGGAAGAAAATACAGGCCCCTCAGCTACAAAGGTTTCCAGTTGAGAAAATAAAATAAAAAGGCATAAACAGCAAAGCTGGGAAGGTCACTTATTTGTCAACTAAATAACTTTAACAAACAATGATATCAATGTTGTGGGTATAGAAGTTAATGGCCTAATTTGGTAAGAATAATTCCATTTAACTTGAAAAGTTACAGCCAGTACTTTGTGATGACAATTCAGGATGAGGCATCTGTACTCTAAGAGGTTTGTGCTGGAAATCAATGAACACATGCAATTACAATTACACAAAGGAGAGGGCTCAGTAACCAAAGCAGATGGACTTCTTTTAGAGTTGTCTCTCCGGCCTCACAGTTTTGTTTTTGGACTTGGTCCAAAAACAAAGTATACACCCATCAAAATCCTCCATGCCTTCTGCAGCGTCCCTGTCATTTAGTCTACAGACAATGGCCACCCAAACAACAAAATGTAATTCCACTGATAGTTGATAACATTTTCTCATATTTTCCTTTTAATAGGCAATATTATTCCCTTTAAACAAGTGAGGAAATTGTGTCGTTCACAAGTTAGCTGCCTTTGCTGCAACTGGGGAACATCCTCCTGGCTCCTGAATATCTGTTCTATTTGTTTTCTCTTTGCCATATAAAACAGTTGAAAATTTATATTCAACCATAGATAAGAAGGTAACATTCTGAGTATCTACCTCCGGAAATACTGATCCTTAATTTCTACAACAAAAAAAAGTGTATCACAGGGCATCGTCCATTTAATTTTTCTGTGGATGCTTTAAAATAATGACACTGATATTATTTATACCATCACCATCATCTTTAGAAAAATCAGTAAAAATTTGTGCTGGAAAACAGCAAGGAAAGAAATGAGCAAATGAGGGCATCCTTTCTGGCATCACTGAAGAAGACTGCAGATATTGGTTGAAAGTTTGGTAGGAACAGAAAAGACAAACCAATCAAATGCCTGAGCAGCCTTGTTCCAGCTGACTAGGAAGGCTACCCAAAGGATCAGTGATTAAGCCCATCTTATTAGGTCCCTGAGGAAACCAATTATCTGATTTCAATGGGAATGCTTCCTATCCGATAAAAAGGAAAAAGACATATTTTCACAGCACAGTAATCTTTACTACAATTTTGTTAACAGTGTTAGGAAAAAAAATGTCAACAATGAAAAAAAAAAGTTAGGACCAAGCCCCCCACTACACAAGAGTTTTTCATAATTAATGTTCTTGTAAAGGAGCTTCTAAACAATTCTCCCATTAAGTGAGGGGAATGCCTCAGTTAACCAAAGAATTTTGAACAAAGTCTTCTGGGTACTGCAGAATCCTGAGGATGGATATCAGATGAATACCTGAAATGATAATGACTTTCAGATCTTTGCTTTCAGCTTCATGAAGAATGTCACTTTGGAGGGATTTCAGCATCGCCAGCGATAGCGCGTTCCTCTTCTTTGGATTGCTCAAGACAATGTTCCTGCAAAGAACATTTTATAATTACTGGGTCATGCACCTGTCAAAACAAGTGAGGACCCCTGCAATTCCTTTCTAATTTGGGAGCTATTTTTAAAACACCAGAAAAGAGAACTACTAGTGCTTAGAGGCAACTGAGATGGTCTATCAACTCTCTGGAGTGACGACTAAGTCAAAACAAGGAGACTTCCTGAAATGCAGGCTGGGTTTTCTCCCTCTTCCCTAGATTTGTTTCTCTTTTTCTCCAGGTTTGCCGTCAGAAACGTTACTGCCTCCCCACCAAGAGCGCAAGTCAGAGTCGTTCCAAAATCACTGCCGCCCATACTGAGAGCTGCGCAGTTTGTAAGCCAGTGGCAGGACCCAGAGAACTGACACACGGTGCCACCTGCAACTTACTTCTTCCCACTGTTCCTCAGAAAGAAATTAGAAGAGCCCATCATGAAAAGAGGCAGCCAAGGTGCAGCTGCCTGTACACACGACAGCATTTTTCCGTATTTTATTGTGGCATCCTGTAATTCTGCACAATAATTCATGCTGTCTGAGAATGGTATGGTACGTGAAGAACAAAAGGACAGAACTGTACAGCAAGAGGGCTCTTTTGGACATGTCATCTCACTAGAAGCTGGCATTCAAAGGCCTGCTCGCTATTTTAAGTATGCCGATTAAAATAACCTGTACTGTCATCTTACCGCCCATACACAGAAATGTCTTATTTTCGCTGTCATAAGGAACAAGCATCAAGCCAAATATCAGATTATTGTTATATATTTTGTATCTGTTTCCCATCTGCCTCCACCCACATTTTCTGCCTTCCTCATTCTTGTTTCAATCTGATATTCCTACCGCTGTGTGTCAGCTTGGATTCTCCGTAAATTGCCTCCTAGGCCACTGTTTTTTGGAAAACCACTTTGATGGCTGAATCTCAGTGCAATACCATTTTCTTTGGAATACTATTTCCATTTTGCTGCCATCTTTAAGTGGCTGTGATATTCAGCATTGCTTCTCATATACATGCTCTCCTAGGTACAAAATGACTTGCAGTTGATATGCGCATAGACTTCGAAACCTGTATTTGGTGGGGTGGGGAGATGGTGGTGAAAGAATTGCTGATAAACCTTCCAGTAAAATAATGAGTGTGCTTGCTGCAGCATATTTTAAAAGCTGCCCTCCTATCCATGACATATTCTTAAATTCTAAGGTCTCAGGTAAAATTGTGTAAAAAGATGCCAGCCCCTCAACCTGGCCAGTTTTGCTCAGTGGTTAGAGCTTTGGCACACGGCCTAAAGGGTCTCAGGTTCAATTCTGGTCAAGGGCACGTACCTCGGTTGCAGGCTTGATCCCCAGCCCGGTCAGGGAGTGTGCAGGAGACAACTGATCAATGTGTCTCTCTCATATCCATGTTTTTCTCTCTCTGTATCTCCCCCTCCTTTCCACTCTCTCTAAAAAAATGAATGGGAAAAATATCCTCGGCCTGTGCTTCAAGGCAGTATCTGTTCACATGAGTCCCATTAATCCTTTGGCTCCTGTCTTACACACCCTGTCAGAGTGCTCTAAGTTGCTGAGTTAACTTTTTAACCAGTGTAACCAGACTTCTGTTCCTGCCACTACTCCACTATAACTGTTCTCACCTAGCAGCTCCTAATTATCTGAACCAAATCCAGTGGCCATTTGGATCATGCTCTCCTTCTAGAAACACATTCCTCCTCTCCTGGATTTTTGGTCTTCTGCTTCTTCCATGGGCCCCTAGCCTTATGCTAACCCCTAAATGCCAGCCATCTAGAGCAGTACCCAATTCATAGCTGGTCCTCACTTACTGCTGAGAGGGACAGTTTTGAAAAGGAACACTCAAAGCTGGAATGAGTTGCCCAAGCTCACCTACTTAGTGTCTAACATAGTACTACTTTCATGCTGGATTTGGGGTCTTCCTTCCTACTAAACAATTCCCAGCATTTATGATAGGTTGTTCTATCTCCCTGATTCGTGTTTAACTCTGGAGAATTCAACCAGGCGCCCTTTTGTCATTTGGCTTCTAACCAGATTTGCAGAAGCAGAACTGCCCTTTAAAAAGGGGAAGGACAGGCCCCTGCCTAATCCATGCACTTTGGGGCGCAGTGCTCTGGGCCCTCTTCCAGCTCTGCCCATCCTGGGGAGCAGGAAACTACTAGGATAATGGGATATGCTCACCTGGAATCACCTCCCCCTTCCCACCCTGCTGCAGTTACCTGATACCCTGGAGTTCCCTGGCTGTACAGTGGACACCCCTAGGCCCCAGGGTGACCAACAATTGTCTATAGGGGGTGAAGAGGGTGAGAGGACAGAAAATATGGGCATGTGTATGGGGTGTCTGCAGACCTATGTGCCAAGACCCTCAAAGAGCAGCAGGAAGGAGGGGTGAAGAGGTAGAAGTGGGCGAGCAGAAGCTGGGAAGAAAAACTGTAGGACAGCGGCTGGCTCTCCACTTTTGGGGGACTCCTAGGAGCCTGAGGATTGTAAATTCAAACATGGCATTTGAGGTTTTATGAAGGTCTACTTGTCCGGGCAGTAGAAGAAAACATATTTAGTAGTTAGCTTGATTTGTAACTTTTAAATACTTAGATATGCTATATGGGCTTCCCACTAGGTCCTTGCAGGGCCAGGCAAATGTCAGGATAAGGCCTGGATGGGGCTCGGGGCCCTTCAACCTTTACGTGATCGTCCAGTTTCCACTGTGTGCACAGGTATGGTTTTAAGGGTTTTGGGCTTGTTGAGCCAAAGGGCAGAGCTCAGTACGGTGTGTCCTTCATTCTATTTATTGACCGGGCACTTCTGGGTGAGGGCCAAGGAGCAGCTCTGCTAGGCCTAACCTGGCCTTGGAGCCAGATGGAGTCCGTGAGGCACAGAACCCCTGGAGAAGGGCACAGCGGCGGAGGGCGGCCGGCAGGGCTGCCACACTGAGCCCGATCTAAGGCTGGGCGAGTGGGGGCCGTCGAGGCAGTCCCACTTGAAATCCTGCGGTGCTGGGTCCCAAACGCTCCTGTGCCGGGCCAGGGGCCTCTTGCCGCTCCCGCGACTCCTTCCCGCTGGACCACCCTGCGGGCCGCGTTCCGCCGAGACGGACAACCAGGGCCCAGGGCGGCGGGCAGCGCTGGCCACGGAGCCCTCGCTGGACCCCGCGCGGGGAGAGGGGGCGCAGCGCCTGGCC